ATGGAGATGACGCTTATTATTAAGTTCTTAGGACAATGCATCCATGGGACTAGTCACTAGATGTTTAGTTGTTTTCAACTTTGTGGATTATTATTAAGTTCTTATGTTTGTTGTTTGATGTTACTTTCATGGTTTTTGAAATGTTGAATATTGTTTTGTTCATTTTGGAATTCTATAAATATTTGCTTATGTTGAAAATTGTGCTATATATTATGCTATATTGATATTTTGCTTAACTTCTATAACTTGCGCCTCGCTTTGGTGAGGCACGCGCCTCGGCGCTTAGACTCCAGGTGACCTTGATGCCCCAATGCGCCTAGAGCTTTTTAAAACACTGGCCCAATCACTCTCTTGGTCATCAATGGTGTGTAATGTGTAAGAAGGATGTGGAATTAGCGGATCACCTATTTCAACATGGTCCCGTGGCCTTTACACTGCAGCAACTCTTTGGTCTGTGTGATGTTTAGTGGGTTGCTCCACAGGAGTGCATGCACATGATACTAGTTTTCTTTGGAGGGTTTGGGAAAAATAAGAAGGCCAAAACATTGTGATCTTGCATTGTTTGTGTGATCTTTTGGATCATTTGGTTGGAAAGAAATGACAGGATCTTTAATAAGAAGGAAGCAACGGAGGAAGCTTTGTGGGATAGGGTGCATGGCATCAGTTTGGGCTTGTGTGTCTCCTCCTTTCAAGGATATACCCTTGTTTTTTATTTCTAGGGATTGGGCTGTTGTTTGTTATGCGTAGTGCTGGTTGTGGTGTGTTGTAGCTCTTGTTTCTTTGGTCTTTATCTTTGTATCTTCTGACTTTGTACGAGGACTTCTTGTCCTCCCTTTGTTGTCATCTTTGTTTCAATAAAATTGTTTTCTTGCTGTTAAAAAAAATAAAATAAAATAAAATATAAATAAATAAATGAAAAAATAGAACCATTCCTATATTAAAGTACAATCAATGAATCACAATGACTTTTAGGTGTAGTTGCAACACCATTATGTAATTATCATTTGTCCACTTAATAGTTAAGAGACCAAACCTTGGGAATCTCATGTAAGTAACTATTAACGAAGGGACTACACAAGAAGCAATTTGATAAGCTGACTAGCAAGCTGGCTATGGAAGATATCTTCAAACCAGCTTGAGGGGGAGTGCTAGAAATTTGTGTTAATGTATATAATAAGATGGTGGCATGTATATAATATGATAGTGGTGTTGGTGGTAGATAGTGGCATGTATATAATATGATAGTGGTAGATTGTGGTAATATATAATATGTAAGTGGCATATAATGGGTTATGATGATGTTTGTAATATCTCCTATATAAGGAGTGTCATTTGGTCTTGTAAGATAAGAAGTTTTGAATATAACAGAAATATATTCCTTCTTCCTCATATTTTTCGGAGTTCTTCTTCCTCATATTTTCTAAGTACATCTATTAAGCAATTCACCAAAGGAAAAATGCAAGTAATCTGTCCAGAGGAGAAGTCAAAGCAGACAAAGAGAAGTGAAGTTTTACTTCATAAAATACTAGTCAAAAACAAAAACCAAAAAAGTTTACTCCACAGAATCATACATGTACTGTCAAATCCATCTACAATTCCAAAGACGGCTCTGTTTGGGTTCATTTTCCAAATTTTTTGCCTGAATTTTTTTTTTAAAATCAAAACTAGTTTGACAAAAATAAACAGCAAAAAAATATTTTAAATTTTTAAAAATTATTTCAGCCCCAAAAAAGATAAAACCATATAAAAGTATTAGTTCAAAAAATCGATTTTAAAAACCAAACCAAACATAGCCGTACACTTGCAAAAATTATTCTAGAAGTCTTGTTAGGGGCCACACTTACCAAAAGTCCAAAACAATTATTGGAAACAAAAATAGATTTTCAATTAAAAAGCTCAACTGATAAATATCCAATGATTACTTCCACATAGGAAAGTAAAAGAGAGGATAAGGCTACTAAACCTGAAAACCAGTTAAACTTCAATTAACTTATATTTTAGCAATGGGCATGGAAAAAAATTCGATGGGTGGTGGTAGTGGCAAATGCAGCACAACTATGTTGCTAGAGAAAAACTTATATGGAAGCCCCATGCCTTTAGATGTTCAAGTATAACTACAATTAAGTGTCTGGGAGTTGGAACAATAATCTATCAATGCATAAGAAAGTTGTTCCTTGAGTTATTGGTGCAAACTACTCCTGTTATTCTTGCTCCCTTATTATGCTACTTATTAACAAAATGCCACAGACAACATACCACGACATGGATATCCCATATTGGTGAGACATTCAGACAACATTCCTTGACATGGATATCCCATATCTATGAGATACTCATGCAAGTAGGAACCAATTATATAGACCACTAGATTAGTAGCAAACGTAAAGCTATAGTGAATGAGATATGTATATGTTGTAAGATGATATACTCCCTAAGTAACCATACTGTTCCCAATAAAGAAGGACAATGGTAGTAGAAGACCAAGGAGGGTCCAGGGATGTTTTGGAATATGCCTGCATGGACCTTGTATATGTATTCATGCATAAATATCTTAGATATATTTAGTTACAAACTTACAATGTATGTAAGGTTATTAACAATATGCTTTCATCTGCCAATATAGAATCATTAATTTGTGTAGTACATGTATTTGAGTTTCATACGTGGCAAGCCACGTCATCGCTAGGTAGTGGCCTCAAACCGCTCCTTTACATGATAAGGCATGATTTTAATCTTGGCTTAGTGCTTTGCTCAACCAATTTCGCACACCTAGCTCCACTCGAATCACTCAACTCCACTCGCTAGCCTACCTCATTGCCTCGCCTACCATTGCAAGCTATGATTAGAAGGGCGCCATGTTGCCAAGCCAATCTAGGTCAAGAGTAGGGCCTATGAACCCCCTCAGGTTGGTGTCTCAATCATGGGATGCTCGAGGAATCTATGACCCTGTGCAGGATCACCAGGTCCTTGTGAAATGGGGGCTAAAGTTGGGGATCACTTTAATATTATCCCCAATTGTTTGACATCCCATCCCAAACCTTAATAATATTATATGCTTTGGGCTAGGGCCTCACAACTTTAAAACATGTTACTTTTGGGAGAGGAGGGCAAGCTAACCCCAATGACCCACCTCCTATAAATGGAAGCCTCCACTTACAGCAAGCTCATAGGCTTCTCTCTTAGTCATTCTCCCTCTCTACTCTAAGGCTACCTCAATGCTCTTCCCATCCATCTCCGGCGGTCCTGTGCCATCTAAGTGCCTACCTCTATTATCAGAATCTTATGATTCGCAATTCATTCATAAATCAATATAAATCTATGGGTGAATTTATTATGGGATAGAATCTATGGTAAATCACACGATTCACAATTCGATTCACTTTTCATGATTCATACAACTCTTGAAACTATTGTGTCTGACTAATCCAACCCTTTTTTCTATTTTTTTACTGAAAATGACATAATACAACTTTTAAGAGTGTTGAGTACGAAAATAACCAATAGCTATGTATGATTTATTATTATTTTGATGATTATAAGGTCTTAATAGGGTCCAATCAGATCCAGTCAGACTTGACATATTCTTAACTTTTTTCCTTATTTTTTTCCTCAAAAAAGTATTATATATATATATTACATCTTCTAAGAATGTTTAAGGTTAAAGAAACTTGCACCATGAATTGTCTTTTGTTGTTTTAATGAAATAAATATAATTCAATATTACATGGACCATGGTTCTATAACATTTTTTTTTCTCATTTTTTAAACAATAAACATACACACTCTTTGAAATGTTCTAAGTTATAAATTAAAGGATTCTACTTAATTCTATCCTAAATATTATATTCTATGAAGGGTTTCTAAGCCTATTTTTTTAATGTCAAGACTCGAGAGATCATATTATATGATTTTTGAATAATTTTACAGTTGGTGGGATTTGGATACACATCTCTTGCTACGAAGGCAACATTCTCCAAATTAGACAATGTAATTACGTCCTTATTTAAGAATTATTTTATAACACAAATCAAAGTCAATTTATTTCATATATATGATTATTTAAAATCATTTTATGCTAAATCTTAAAGATTCTCAATTTGATTCATGATTTACAATATTAGGCTTTTGATTAGCGATATATTCTCAATTTGACAACTGTCGGGCCTACCATAATTCCAGGAGGTCGTATGAACAAATTACATAAGATATTCCATACAATAGAAAGCTTTTGCCCAATTTGCTTCTAATATAGTTATTCTAGGGCTACTGTAAACTAATTATGAAACTCAAAAATAAGCTTGTAAGCAACAACTAACTCATGTCGTAATTTGTGACATAACAAACATAAAATTATGGAATGAGTGCCTCATTCAACTAATTAATTAACCAGAGAATTTTATCCAGAATAAAATCTATATGAAAGACACGAAATTTTATACTAGTTTCACACGTACAGCATGCAATATAAGTCAATAGTTCAGTTTGAAGTTTGCAAAATTACCTGTTTTCTCGATCCCGTTCTCTAAATTCCTTCTCCCTTTCCCTTTCTTTGAACTCCCCGTCCCAACTCTTCTCTCTAACTTGCTCATCCCGATGCATTTCTGGACGGCTTATACTTCTACGTGACCGCTCTTGCTCTTTATCCTTCTCCCTTTCATTGTCAGGTTTATGCTCTCTCTTATCCCTATCACAGTCCCTCTCTTTGTCTCTATCTATGTCTCGATCCTGGTCCTTTCCTTTGTCTTTGTCTCTAGCTCTATCCCGCTCTCGGTCTTTGTCCTTTCCATTCCTCTCTTCCCGGTCTCGCTCTCGGGTTCTGTCCTTTCCATTCCTCTCTTCCCGGTCTCGCTCTCGGGTTCTGTCCTTTCCATTCCTCTCTTCCCGGTCTCGCTCTCGGGTTCTGTCCTTTCCATTCCTCTCTTCCCGGTCTCGCTCTCGGGTTCTGTCCTTTCCATTCCTCTCTTCCCGGTCTCGCTCTCGGGTTCTGTCCTTTCCATTCCTCTCTTCCCGGTCTCGCTCTCGGGTTCTGTCCTTTCCATTCCTCTCTTCCCGGTCTCGCTCTCGGGTTCTGTCCTTTCCATTCCTCTCTTCCCGGTCTCGCTCTCGGGTTCTGTCCTTTCCATTCCTCTCTTCCCGGTCTCGCTCTCGGGTTCTGTCCTTTCCATTCCTCTCTTCCCGGTCTCGCTCTCGGGTTCTGTCCTTTCCATTCCTCTCTTCCCGGTCTCGCTCTCGGGTTCTGTCCTTTCCATTCCTCTCTTCCCGGTCTCGCTCTCGGGTTCTGTCCTTTCCATTCCTCTCTTCCCGGTCTCGCTCTCGGGTTCTGTCCTTTCCATTCCTCTCTTCCCGGTCTCGCTCTCGGGTTCTGTCCTTTCCATTCCTCTCTTCCCGGTCTCGCTCTCGGGTTCTGTCCTTTCCATTCCTCTCTTCCCGGTCTCGCTCTCGGGTTCTGTCCTTTCCATTCCTCTCTTCCCGGTCTCGCTCTCGGGTTCTGTCCTTTCCATTCCTCTCTTCCCGGTCTCGCTCTCGGGTTCTGTCCTTTCCATTCCTCTCTTCCCGGTCTCGCTCTCGGGTTCTGTCCTTTCCATTCCTCTCTTCCCGGTCTCGCTCTCGGGTTCTGTCCTTTCCATTCCTCTCTTCCCGGTCTCGCTCTCGGGTTCTGTCCTTTCCATTCCTCTCTTCCCGGTCTCGCTCTCGGGTTCTGTCCTTTCCATTCCTCTCTTCCCGGTCTCGCTCTCGGGTTCTGTCCTTTCCATTCCTCTCTTCCCGGTCCCTATCCCTGTCCTTGTCTCTATGATCTCGACGACTTCTATGTCGGTCCCTGTCAATCTTTTCTCCATCTCTTGGAGACGATCGATGTCGTGACGAGGCCCTCTCTAGGTCACGGTCACGAGACTCACCTCTGGACTTCGATCGCTTTGCCCGGTGATCCAAATCATTATCGTTCTCATCAATTTTGTGCTTTGAACTACGGGTCCGTTCTTTCTTTTCGGATTTAAGTGTTTCTTCCCCACCATTTGCTGCTTCCTTCAATTTCTGAGGGTCCGTATTTTCCACCATCTTCTCTAAATAATCATATTCATCAAACTCCATTGAACAATCTCTAAATCAAACAACTCGGATGGATTCTGAAACGACACTTATTGCCAATGGGATCTGAAAACAAATACCAACAAGTAAAACATTGAAATAGACAGACGAAATTCAATAATAAATAAGTTATAGACACGCATATTTGAAACCCTGATGCACCCTTTTCACTTGAAACAATTCCAGGGAAGCCTTTCATCAGTATAATCAAATATTGATTCAAATGGTCCTGGAATCCAGGCAAAACCTTATCGTGTCCCATATGTTAGGCACAAATTCACATGGATACATACACAATAACATGTTAATAAACCAATATTTTGTAGCCAACAAAGTTCACAAGGAAAGAATTTGAATTTGAGTCCGTAGAGTAAACAGAACCAACTTCAATGGAAATATCAAACTAACAGCACTGACAAAAATGTATAAAGAACAGTAATTTACAAACAACGAGACAATATTGCTCCTGCAACAATGAAGGAATCAATAGTTTGGGTTTTTTGCAAACCCTAATTTCAACAACCGACCAAAAGCATCCCAAAATTTGGGAGATTTACATGGAAAACTTTGGAAGATGAGATTGAAAAAAAACCAATGAAAAGAGTCTATGAGATTTACCTCTAAGGGTTTAACAGCGACACAGAAAGAGAAGAAAAGCGTCAAACGGGCAAACTACGAAGAAGAGTGCGTCTCCGAACCTGTCGAGTGAACTCTGTGTAGGTTAGTTTGCCCGTTTGGGGCAGCCCATGTGTTTGGTTTTTTGTTTTTTTTTTTTTTTTTTTTTGTTGAAAATTTGAAGCTTTTGAATGAATTTGACTAAAGTTTTTTTTTTAATGAAGCAGCAACCAATACTCTCACATCTTTCATTAAATTTGTTTGTAATTTGCGTCTTGCTTCCCCTTTTGTACCAGGGCAAAAAAGGTCAACTCGTGTACGAGGACCTACATTAGGCAAAGGAGTACAAAAAAAAATAGCTCGGAAAAAGGAAGAGAAATTACATGTGTATGTCAATCGGGTGTTGAATGCAATCATAGGAGGGAATGGCACCCCAACGACGAATGAGTTGGGATTGCAAATTAGACGGTTGTGCCCTCTTCAGAGCGTGAAGTCATGGAGAAAAATCGATCAAAGTACCAAAGATGCGGTCGTCCAAACGGTGCTAATAGGAGATTCATCTTGCCATAAATTAATTGTAATTGCTTAAATTAATTGATGTACTAATTCCAATCTTATGTTTGTAGGACAAGTTTGTTATCGGCGATGATTTTGACAATGATGAACAAGCTCAAGAAATCCTCGGTAGAAAGGCATAGTTGCTATACAAGGATTGGAGGTACAATCTAAAGCAAGAGTTCCTCGAACTTGAGGAAAAGGGTGTTATGACTCCTATAGCCATCCGTGTAGTGGAGTGAGCTTGGAGGACTGGAAATATCTGATTGATGTTACTTGGAAGACGAATCTCACTTGGTAACAAATTAATTAGAACCCCCATTCTTGAAATTAATTTATGTGTTGATATGTAAAAAACCTTTACTAATTCTTTTTTTTTTTTTTTTTGTAATTTTGTGTTTTTTTTTTTTTTCTTGTTAGAAACGCTCTAAAGCTGGTAAACCAAATAGGGGTATGCTCCCCTATAATCATACAAGTGGATTGCAATCATTTCCTATAGCAATGTCACTTATGGTGAGAAGTAGTTATTTGTTTAGTGATGTAATGGATGATTGATTCTTCTTAATTTTGAATATTACTATGTACTACTTCATCAATGGAATTTTTTCAAACCTAATAGGCAAATGAGGATGGAGATATAGATTTCCTTGAATTTATAAGAAATCACACAAGTAGAAGAAGACGAGAGACTGGATTGACCCCAAATATGGTGAGCTACATGTGAGTATTGAATGTTGAAACCAATTTTGTTGCATATCAATTAGTAAAGTTGTTTTCAATTCCTTCTGCTATCTTGACTTTATTGTTTTCTTGCCATGACAGGATGATATGGTGAATCTATAAGTCGTAGCCACCGATGCGGGGTTCCCATTAACCCACGAAGAACTATCAAGGCAAGTGCTCGGGGCAAAAAAAAATTACTTGCGTAGATGTGGGATAGGCCCACAACCCTCTTCCACAACTTCTAGTGCGGCACGAGCACGTGATAAACATATGGAGTCAATGAGAGCAAAACTAGAGGTTCTTTGTGAGGAGCGTCAAAGAGATCACGAGGAGTTACTAAAGGAGAAAGAGGAGCGGCAAAGAGATCATGAGGAGCTATTGAAGGAGAAAGAGGTGCGGCAAAGAGATCACGAGAAGTTGCTCAAGGAGAAAGAAGAGCGCCAAAGAGATCGGGAGGAAATTATGAGGGAAAAAGAGGAGCTGATGAGACAAGTCGAAGAAGGAAAAAAAGCACGGGAGGCACAACAAATACAACTCAATCATCTGAACGACGTGGTGTCACGGCTCACAACCCTTTTGGAGGGTTCAGATGGTCATCCTACTATTCAGTAAACATAATTTTATTGATAAACTAATGCAAGTTTTACAAATACATGGATCATATTGGCATAGAATTGTTTTCTAAAGTTGCTATGCAAATTTTTTTTTGTTATGTGCTTCGAATAGGTTTTGAGGCATAATGTGAGTAGACTTTGTAGCAGACGGACCGTAATCTGATTTCCATAAGGTAACCACATGATTTCAATGAAATATTAAGTTTCCCATATTAAGGGTACGATGAGCCTATGACTATGAGGGCAGTTACTATATTAGGAGGCCCATCTAATTGAATGTCATTTCAGATTTAAGAGTAATTGAATAAACCAAGTGAACTTGAAATGAATTTACAATTACAAATAGTATTTTGCTGAGCTACACATCTCACTAATTACACTATAAAATTGTAATTTTTGTTGCCTAAAAGGGATGGTAATACGTGAAATAAATTAATGAAAGCCTCATTGTGCATTAGAGAATTGGACATATTATGAGCTTCATTATTGTCATATTGGAAAAATACATTAGTTCAGTTAATATTAGATCTCCTGGGTTATTTGTTGTCTTACCAAAACGCCGTAAACTAAGTCAGAAAAGGCCTTCGAGAGCCGAAAATTGAAAGCAACCCCCGAACCACTGTAGAGATGGCATGGGTAGCTTCCTTGCGTCAAATAGGACCTGTGGGGACATTACCGTTGTAATTAGCACTTATACGTTGGGAGTTGGCGTGAAAAACACCGTAAACTTAGCCAAAAAAGGCATTTGAGGGTGGAAAATTCAAATCAGCCCTCGAAGCTTTCTATGGATGGCACGGGTAGCTTCATTGTGTCAAATAGGACCTGTCGAGATAGACGGGACGTAATTAGCATGTATACGTTGGGAGTCGGTGTGAAAAACGCCGTAAACTTAGCCAAAAAAGGCCTTCGAGGGCCAAAACTTGAAAGCAGCCACTGAACCACGGTAGGGATGGCACAGGTAGCTTCCTCATGTCAAATAGGACCTGTGGGGACATACGGGATGCAATTAGCATCTGTACGTTGGGAGTTGGCGTGAAAAACGCCATAAACTTAGCCGAAAAAGGCCTTTGACGAGCCAAAAATTCAAATCAGCCCCCGAAGCATTCTATGGATGGAACGGGTAGCTTCATTGTGTCAAATAGGACCTGTGGGGACAGACGGGACGTAATTAGTACGTTTATGTTGGGAGTTGGTGTAAAAAACGTTGTAAACTTAGCTGAAAAAGGCCTTCAATGGCCGCAACTTGAAAGCAGCCCCCGAACCATGGTAGGGATGGCACAGGTAGCTTCCTCATGCCAAATAGGACCTGTGGGGACTACGGGATATAATTAGCACGTATACGTTGGGCGTTGGCGTGAAAAAGCCATAAACTTAGTCGAAAAAGGCCTTTGACGGGCCAAAAGTTCAAATCAAGCCCCGAAGCATTCTACAGATGGCATGGGTAGCTTCATCGTGTCAAATAAGACCCTGTGGGGACAGACGGGACGTAATTAGCACATATACTTTGGGAGTTGGTGTGAAAAACGCCGTAAACTTAGCCGAAAAAGGCCTTCGAGGGCCGAAACTTGAAAGCAACCCTCGAACCATGGTAGGGATGGCACGGGTAGCTTCCTCATGTCAAATAGGACCTGTGGGGACATACGAGACGTAATTAGCACCTGTACGTTGAGAGTTGGCGTGAAAAAGGCCATAAACTTAGCCGAAAATGTCCTTTGACGGGCCAAAAATACAAATCAGCCCCTAAAGCATTGTACGGATCGCACGGGTAGCTTCATTGTGTCAAATAGGACCTGTGGGGATAGACAGGATGTAATTAGCACGTATACGTTAGGAGTTGGTGTGAAAAACACCGTAAACTAGCCGAAAAAGGCCTTCAAGGGCCGAAACTTGAAAGCAGCCCCCGAACCACAGTAGGGATGGCACACGTAGCTTCCTCATGTTAAATAGGATCTGTGGGGACATATGGGACGTAATTAGCACGTGTACGTTGGGAGTTGGCGTGAAAAACGCCATAAACTTAGTCGAAAAAATCCTTTGACGGGCCAAAAATACAAATCAGCCCCTGAAGCATTCCACGGATGGCACAGGTAGCTTCATTGTGTCAAATAGGACCTGTGGGGACAGACGGGACGTAATTAGCACGCATACGTTGGGAGTTGGTGTGAAAAACGCCGTAAACTTAGCCGAAAAAGGCCTTCAAGGGCCGAAACTTGAAAGCAGCACCCGAACCATAGTAGGGATGACACTGGTAGCTTTCTCATGTCAAATAGAACCTGTGGGGACATACGGGACATAATTAGCACGTGTACATTGGGAGTTGGCGTGAAAAACGCCATAAACTTAGCCGAAAAAGGCCTTCGAGGGCCAAAAATTCAAATCAGCTCCCAAAGAAGTCTATAGATGGCACGGGTAGCTTCCTTGTGTGAAATAAGACCTGTGGGGATAGACGAGACGAAAACAGCACGCATACGTTGGGAGTTGGTACGAAAAACGCGATACACTCTTCGAGGGCCGAAACTTGAAAACAACCCCTGAACCACTGTAGGGATGGCACGGGTAGTTTCCTCATTTCAAATAGGACCTGTGGGGACAAACGGGACATAATTAGCACGTGTACGTTGGGAGTTGGCATGAAAAAGGCCATAAACTTAGCCGAAAAAGGCCTTTGAGGGCCAAAAATTCAAATCAGCCCCCGAAGCAGTCTACGGATGGCACGGGTAGCTTCCTTGTGTGAAATAAGACCTGTAGGGACAGACGGGATGAAAACAGCACGCATACGCTAGGAGTTGGTGTGAAAAACGCTGTACACTTAGCTGGAAAAGGGCTTTTGGGGCCTTAAATTAAAATCAGCCCCCGAAGCACTCTATGGATGGCAAGGGTAGCTTCCTCATATCAAATAGGACCTGGGAGGACAGACGGGACGTAATTAGCACCCGTACATTGGGAGTTGGCATGATAAATGCCATAAACTTATCCGAAAAATGCCTTTCGGGGCCGGAAAGCTTATAAATATATATGTTATATAAGCATCTCTATATATTTAGTTTTATGAATAAAATACCAACACATGTAAGTAGACGTTGTGAATAAAATACCAACACATTTTATGAATAAAATACCAACACATTTAACCATCTGAATTGTAACCTATTTGTGACTTTCAATCATGATTGCCAAGACATGGACTATATATCATCATCTGGTACAGCATCACTGTTGTGGCTGAACAACTTCTTCTTGAATTGGAATTTTAAGTGTTTTGCTCAACAAAAGAATGACTGTGAAGCTGATTAAAAAAAAAAGAAATTTTGGAGCTAATAAATGAGACCAGTGTCATAATCTTTTCATGGCAACTGTGAATCTGTGCTGATCATTCAACTTTAACCTTCCTCTCAGTTTTGTATTTTTCTGAAATGGTATCTATGAGCATATATTGTGGTGGAAACAAAATGATAGGTACTTATTCACTCTGTTTTAGTGAGAGCCTTATGTGCTGGTTCATCATTTTTTTGTTTATGCTTAGATACATGATGGCAAGTGTGAAGGGAAGGGCACATGACGTGGGGTCCTGCCCCCTCAAACGTTTGTACATACCTTTTTGTTGAAAATTTTTGTTTACAATGAAACTAATAGGTGTAATTTTTGTTGTGTAGATGGCTTTTGGCATTGACATGTGGATCTTCTATTTTTTTTGTCCGGAAGGTAATTCACAGCTTTGCAAATTTGGGAAGTTTTTGGTCGTCCTCAACTTTTTGTGTGGAATTTGGATGAATTGTACGTATAATTTTTGACGGGGTACATAGTATTTTTGGAACTTGTATTAATCGCTCTGGTCGTATATATAGATTACCTTTTGTCGTGGTACATATTACCATGGTAATTTGTACCATGCCAAATAGTCATTACAATGCATAATATAGAAAAATGTTTTGTGTATAGAGGACACTGTTTTTGTAACATATTCGGATGTATGACGTTATTATTTGTAATTGGAATATATTAGTTTGTTTGTATATAAGTTTACATTATAAGGTGTTTTTTTTTTTTTAATGATTGTATGTGAAACATGCATTACGGAATAGGTGATAATATATATATTAATTTGTTTGTATACTTATTACAGGTTGTTGTGGATATATACAAGTTGTGAAAAAATTTTATTAAAATGAAAAAAACAAAACAAAAATAAAAATGACGTTTTTGGTGACAAAACAATTGGTAGCCAAAATAAATAAATAAATCTTTTGGCGACTAAATATTTAGTAGCCAAAACGAATTGAAAACAGTTTTGGCGACTAATTTTTTAGTAGCTAAAACTCAAAACACTTTTTGGCGACTAAATATTTAGTTGCGAAAACATAAACTATATGTCATAGGCGACTAAATTCTGTAGTAGCTAAACAAACCTTTCCGCGACAAAACATTTAGTAGCTAAAAATAGCACTATTGGCGACTACTAATTTGGTCGCCGTAGATAATTGAATTTTTTGGAGACAAAAAATTTAGTAGCTGAAGATGTGAGTTAAATGAATTGATGTACCCTTTGGACAACTAATGTGTTAGTCACCAATCTGACTCATCAACGACTAATCCACTTTTAGTTGCTAATACTGCTACTTTTGCCTACTAAAATATTAGTCGCCATTATGTTGGACTTTTGGCGACTAAATTTGTTTTAGTCGCCAAAACCTTCGCTGACAATGTACCCGCGACAAAGCCAGCGACCAAAATTTTTGGTCAGGAAAGCATTTCGGCGACTAAAATCAATTCTTTTGGCGACTAAATTTTTAGTCACCAAAAGTGTATTTTCTTGTAGTGAAAGCCCGGCCCATCGGCCCACTCAAGGCTTAGCCCGAGGCCTAGTGTCAGTTTTTATGGAAAAAAATAAAATTTTAGTAAATAAAAAATAAAAAAATGGTCATGCCTAAGGCCCAGCCTGCTCAAGGCCCGAGTAACCTCTAGGCTTAGGCTTGGGCTGCAATTTTGCACAAGTGGGCCCACCTAGTCTGGTCCGAATTTTGGTGGGAGTCCGCACGGCCCGACAATGAGTCAAAGCTAAATTTACACCTCTACCATCGTGTCCAAATTCTCCTCCTTTCTAGAAACATATTTTTATCATAATAAGACATTAATAAGGAAAAAAAAATTTATACACATCTCTTTTTAGTGGGTGTGTACCATATACCTTAATTATAATATTTTTGAATTTTTATTATGATTTATTTTGATATTAGTTATAACTCATTTTAGTGTTATTGTCATATTGGTTATAATATTATTTTAGTTATGATTTAAAATATCTTTTCTTATACCTCATATAATGTTTAGTTATATGATTTTTTTAGTTATGATTGGCAATGATTTAGTTATGACATTTGTGATATAATAATCAACATCATAAATGTCATAACTTGCATAAGGGTATATACCATAACATAATCCAAATAAAAATACTTCAAATTCAAAAATAAAATAAAATAATATTAAAGTGCATTTCTTTCTTTTTTTTGTATAAAAAAAAACATGGGCCACAAACAATGTAATTTTATTTTAACTTTAAATTTAAAATTGTTACATAGTTTAAATTTTAATAAAAAGAATAAAATTAATGTCACCCACAAAAAATTCATACATATAATAACAACGTATGTAACCCATAATAAACCTTTGCAAAACAAATTTAGGTCAAGTTTGGCTACAAAGAAAAAAGTGTACTTATTTCATCTTTTTATCTTTTTTGGGTCACATCAATCAACATCTCCTCTCTACTTTTTCTACACATAATACAAAAAAAATCAAAAAATACACTTATTTAGTCTTTCCAGACTAGGCCTTAAAGTGTACCTTTCACGTCTAAATCCCGCGACGGCGTATTATAAAGGGGAAATTACTTTTTGATGGGACATAATTCTTTTTTTTTTTTTCTCATATGAAAAAATGCAAGTTATACTCACACCCACGACTCTTATCTAATTAATGACCAACAATGAGAGAAATCACTAATTTTGGAACTCTAAAAAGATCATTAATAATATGATATTTAATAAAAAAATAAGATAATGTTAAGGACATCAAATTTTCTACTAAATAAATGACCAAATGTATTACATGAATATGAGGTCCGCAATTTTGTGAATCTCACACCCATGTGAGACATTTGATCATTTATTTAGTAGAAAATTTAAAACTTCTAACATTTTTCAAAAAAATAAAACACCAAAATCAAAATATTAAATCATTTATAGTGAGATCTACTACCATATTATTAGTGATAACACTAATTATTGATCTCACTCATTCAATTAATGACGACCAATTTTGTCGCTCATTCAAAAGTCTACAAAAGATAAACAAGCCAGTTTTCCAACCAATCAAAAGAAAGAGAAATTTTCATCAAAATGACCAGATCAGCCGCCCACTGAGCCATCATCATGCATCTCCAAAAATCTAAAAACCATGGTTTTTTTTTTTTTTTTTTCCTCTTAGGATGGTTCGACGCGCCCTAAATAAGCAGTTTATTTATTTATTTGTTACAAGTTATTATATGACATTTTTATTTGTTTGCATATTTTTGCATAAAACGTCAATCGACTAAAAATAAACAAATTTGAAGAAAATAACGTTTAAATTTTTAATTTTGTCAATTTAAATCGTAATTTTATAATATATTTTCAATCTAAATCATAGGGGTGAGCATAGTTCGGATTAGACCGGATTGGAGTAAAACCAGAACCAATCCGTTATCTACGGATCCTGAAAAATTGGAACCAATCCAATCTGTTTAAATCGTGGAACCAATCCGAACCAATCCATTTAAATACGGATTGGATCGGTTTAGGACCACAGATTTATATAATTAAATAACAAAAATATATATATAACACTTTATTTCCATAAAAATATAAATATAGCACCATATTAGTTTCACAATGGCAATATGTCTTTTCATAATAGCGACAAACTGTTCTAAAATTTAAACAACCATAAAGAAACTAGTTCCACCATAAGTATTTAGACCATTACAAATTAACACTAAAAACTAACAAACAAAAGTAATAAAAGAAGATACTATGCAAGTTTAAGTTTGGATTTAAGTTTTTTATGAAATAAGAGAAGATACTATGCAGGAGGGTGTATAATAAAAATATAGACTATTTGTATACGGTCCGGATCGGTTCCAATCCGGAACCGTGGGATTCAATCCGGAACCAATCCGTGAACTACGATTTTTAATTTTTCAATCCGGAACCGAACCACGGATTCAAAAAACCAATCCAAACCTACTGGATTGGACTGGACTGGATCGGATTACGGATTTCACGGATTCCTTGCTCAGCCCTACTAAATCATATGTCTATTTTCATTAAATTAAAATAATTTAAAAAGTATTTTAGTCATTAAACTTAATATAAATGTACATAATGACTAAAAAAAAAATTATTGGTTTAGTCAACGAAATAGTCAATAGTTTAAATTTAAAAAAAATCAAAATATTAAAATTTAAATTAGAAACTCCAGATATATTTTATTTTTTGGGTGATTTTTTTTTTTTTTTTGTAATTTTTTTTTTTATAATCAATAAAAAGCATTCTTAATAATGAACCCTTGTTAGAGTTGACAATTAATTGATATGATACCACCTCGACAATTAATTGATATGATACCACCTTCTTTTAACCTTGAAATAGAATTCACCAATTGTCCTTGGCATAGATGATCTTGTTGGGGCTCATCACGTAAGGGTGTTCATTGACTTGAAATAAATCAAGAATTAAATTCATTTTTACAGTATTAGCAACCAATTCAGTCGGTAAAATTTTTGAAATCGAATTAGAATTAAATTATAAAAAAATTAATAATTCGGTTCCACAGTTCTAAACTAAAAAAATTATCATTATATCTAGACTAATTAATTTAATAAAAATTAATTATAACTCTACAAACATTCCAAAATTTTCATAAATATACTTTAAGTTTTAAAATATTCTTTAAACTAATTTTTATAAAAATGTGTAAATTATATAAATAGTGAAAAAAAATTAAATGTGTATATTTTTGTATAGAGATAAAGTAATATATAAATATAGTAAACGAAAGTTTTGCGAATGCCAAAATGAGATAAAGGCATGAAAAAGTCATTGAAATGAAGTCAATGCCAAAATGATTTTCTTCTAACCTCAAAATAGAATCCACCACGTACTCATTAAAATTAACAAAAACATTGAATTCTAAATGAATAATTACAAGAAATTTTTTATTAGGGTATAATTTATCATTGAATAATACATAATTTTGATACACCAAAAATTATTTTGAAGGAATTTTTTTTTTTTTTTTAACTGATGGATACTAGAATCAATAACCTAAATGAATACTCAGTTATGCTATAAATGTATAGAAGATTTTCACACAATGAGATAGATGTAAGACAGAGACTAGATATCACATGTATGTTAAACTACTTCTATGAGTTATTTCTGTAGTGACCAACTTTATTAGTTGTGTGATTAGTGACTTAATTGTTAGCTATCTAAAAATTGCAGAACCAATGCGAGACTGAAAATAAATAGGAGAGAAGAAGGGATTGATAGCTTTCAAAAATATAGAAACTTTGCTACACGGAGATGGAACAAGAAATGAAATGTCCTTAATGGATATGGATCCATATAATTTTTCATCACTCGAAAGATCTATTACCAATGTATAGTGGTCAAATAGGATCATTTTCCTCTCGAGATTATATATCATATGTATCACTCATTCATTATCTTATATTTATGTCTAATTTTATAATAAAAAAAAATCTATTGCCCATTCATTAGTGAGTCGTCAACTATCTCAGTAAAGGAAAGAAGAAAAAAAAACTAACTCAAATGTCAACAACTTTCATTTTCATCCCCTTATATTTATCAGAGTCAACATCTAGGAACTATGCAAACTTCAATTGATAAACAAACCAAGTTTTCACTCATTATAGTACATAGGTATAACAACAACGACGATGATGGAGATTAAGGTTGAGGTAATCGCTAGAGAAACCATCAAGCCATCTTCTCCGACACCCCATCACCTTAAAACTTACAAACTCTCTCTTATCGACCAATTCGCGCCTGCATCATACACGCCACTAGTTCTCTACTACGCCACATGCGGCGGTTCTAGTTACGAAGAAAGAACCCAACTTTTAAAAAACTCCCTCTCTCAAATCCTAACTCGCTACTACCCTCTAGCTGGAAGAATCAAAGATCCTCTCTTTGTTGATTGCAACGACGACGGCGTTGATTACATTGAAACTCGAGTCTACTGTCCAATTTCCGCCATTCTTAAGCAACCCAAAAGTGAATTACAAAACCATTTCATTCCAATCAAATTTAAGGAATCGGGGTCCGGATCTCTCTTACTCATCCAGGCTAGCTTCTTTGAATATGGAGGAATGGCTATAGGCATCTATACTAACCACAAACTTGCCGATGCGGCCTCCTTCACCACATTCCTCAAGGCCTGGGCTGCCACTGCGTCCGGATTCCCTGACGTAGTAAGTCCAGATTTCACAGCACCCTCTATATTCCCAGCAAGAGATGACTTTCAGACCCTTCCATCACAAGTTTATGAGAAACCACCACAGAAGGTTGCTGTCAGGAGGTACTGTTTTGACAATGAAATGGCTATACTCAAAATAATTTGAAAGAGAGATTTGAAGAATAAAGAATATATTCATTCATTCTCATTCTTACATAGCAGCTCTATATATATATATATATGAAGTTTTAAAACAATTTTGACATTCTAATTTTAAGGCATTTTAAATACTAAACCCCACTATTTTGTAAACCACTAAAATGATAACAAAATAAGATTTATTAACATACCACTAGGGACCAAATTATCAATCCATCTTGGCATTTGATTGCAAATTCTGAGTAACTTTTTGGGTAAACATGACTCCAAAATTACTAAAAACAAGTTTATTTTCTCAACAGGTACGTCTTCAACGCCTCCAAACTTCACGCTCTCAAGGCGGAAGCAGCCAACGCGAGGGTACAACAACCTACCCGCGTGGAGGCTGTCATGGCACTCCTTTGGAAATGCGCTATGGATGCTTCTAGATCAAGATTGGGATTGGCATCGACCAATCCAAGGAGGCCATCTATATTAGTCATATCAGCAGATATGCGACCACGTCTTGTGCCGCCATTACCAGAGAGTTCGTTCGGAAACATAGGACGCCCACTAGTAGTGCACGCCGATGATGAGAGTGAGAACGAAATGAACTTGTCAAACTTGGTAAGTAGCATAAGGGAAAGTAAGCTAGAACTAAGCAAAAATTGTGGAGTGTCGGAGATTTGTGGGTTGTTGATGGAGTTGGGAAAGTTGCAGATGAGAGGAGGTGAAGTGGATATGTATACACATACAAGTTGGAGTAGGATGCCATTGTATGAAGCTGATTTTGGGTGGGGAAAGCCAACTTGGGGGACGATTGGTCATATAGAAGTGCCTAATGTTGTTGTGTTGAGTCCTTCAAGAGATGGTGAGGGGATTGAAGCATGGGTTACCTTGATTGAAGAAGACATGGCATTTTTTGAATGTAACAAGGACTTGCTAGACTTTGCTACTATAAATCCTAGTCCTCTCACCTCTCTCAACTGAGTTAGTACACTCTACTACTGGATCAAATCAGTCATGCAATCCAAAATCTTCAATTGTGTTACGATAGTACTGCTTTTGTGTTTGATGTGTCATTTATTGTTAAAATTGAAGTTATCTTTTTAGGTACTTTCTGTTGTGTCCCCTTCAAATAAAAAAAAAAAACTGTAATTCTAGTCTTATTTATGTTTTGTGGGTTTTTGCATTATTCCTTTTAATTGTGTTGTATGTTTTTCAATATGTTTTTTTCCTTTGACTGTTGATTCCTCTCTCACATTATTTGAATTTGAATTCTCTCTAAGCACTTTATTAAGAGGAATACTACAAACCGAGAAAAATACATTAGAATTTATTCAAAATATTAATGTGATTCAGATTCATTTTATTGGCCAAAATCTGAGATCCAAAATTTGGGTCCTAGACTTTCTACTTTATTAGATCAATTACTAAAAGTAACCAATAATGTTGTACTTGAAAATTCGATGGCCAGAATTTTACTAGAGGACATTAAAAATAATAATAACAAAAAAAAGAGTACCAACTTATTAACATGTTGTGCTTATTCACCCAAAAAACATGTTGTGCCTTGCATTCTGACCAAATCCTTTGTTGGGCTAAAATCCTTATATTTAGTTAAAATTTTCAGAATTCATTTTTGAAAGTTCTTTTAAAAATTACAAGTTAATATAACAAAAATAAATGCTAAAAAAAATATTTTAAAATTTTTAAAATTATTTTTGTCCAAAAAAATGAGAAAAATCATACACAAATAATGAGATTTCATTTTTATTTCACCAAACTAGTTTTTCAAAATTTCTCAAAAACAAATCCTGAAAACTAAATCATACTAAATCAAATATGACATTAGGATAGTGACTAGTGAATCAGATTTCTCCATATTTTAGTTTTTGCGACCCACGCAAAAAAATTCCTTCACATAGATCAAGCAAATCTCGAGCAAAATCCGTGTGTATAGTTCCAAAGAATTAATAGCAACTAATGGGAATTGAATCTAAAACATGAAGAGAGCACACCCCAGGCCCCAAGCTACCCCCACTAGGCCAACCCTATGAAGTTGTGTGGTGGTGTTATTGTAGAGGCCAACAAAGAATTTCTAAAACTAGAAAGAACAGAAAATTTTGAAGAAATCGCCAGGACAAACATAATACATAGATTATGAAGCAACGCGAAGCAAAGCGAAACAAAGACATGTTCAAAGAAAAATATTAAAAGGACTCTTGACAAATATTAAAAGGACTCTTTCTATCATTCTGTCTTTCTGTTTTGAATGATTAACCACTATGCACAAAAATTCAAATGAGACCTAATCTATGAAAACAACCAGAACTGACACTAAACCTAAGATAATTCACAATCCTACAGGGAGAGACCAAACCTTCAGATCTTCTTAACTGATACTAACAATCGACATCGCTGAGCAGAGATCCCCATTAGAATGCTGCCACTTGGACTGCAAGTGACATGGTTCGATTGCAATCTGAGTACTACGCATTTGTAAATTATCTAACTCTGTTAACTGCTCTACGCCTTCGCCTTCGCCGCCTCAACCTCCCCGACAAGAGTCTGCTCCGATAGCGCGTAAAGCGAGAGATGAAATTGTCATCAAAATTACCAGAAGCCGATACATTGGCATCATGATTCAAATCAATATCTTCTTCCTCATCCCATGAGTACTGATGATCACTCTCAAACAACCCATGTGAGCTGTTGACATGATGACCATTCCCACCTCCACCAAATGATTCCAACCTGAAAATAGCATCACCCAGATAATCATCCACATCGTAGTCTCCAGAAAAGCTGCCACGATAGTTCCTCTCTATTACATAATCTCCCATTACAATTGCCCCCGGCATAGATGATCTAATCGTGCTCATCACATCCTCTCGTTCTCTCTCGTGCTCAAGCCTTTTCCATTTCTCTGCAAGTGTAGGGTCCACTTCTCGTGGACACGCACATGGGTGCTCTGCCTTTACGTGCTTCCTCAGTTCTTTGTAAGTTCCAACGTACGAGCAGTTATCTTGCATACAGGTTCTCCTCTTGGTATTAAAATATTTGCGTGCTGGTTCCACCACTGTCCAACCTTTCACCTGCCCCCGGCAAAGGGGACACAATAGCTCAGAAACTTGTGTCTTTTCACTGAGGCAACCTAACCCTAGAAAACCCGATTCGTCAATGGACCCGAGCCATGGTTCTGCAATCTGGGTTGAAGAAACTTTAGTATAAGCTTTCTTGTACTGCTCAAGACAATTGGAATAGCGACTGCTAGTCGCACACATATAAGGGCGACAACCCTTGTCGTAAGAGGAGCAGAGGAGGAGGACAGCATTGTGAGGGTACTCCATACAAACCGAGCAAGTTGCATCGTCCCACTGTTTTATCTCTGGTGCTTTTGAACGTTTCTTCTTCTGCTGGACATCTTTCAAAACCTTTGAAGAATGAGAAGGTAATGGATATGGGGTGACCCTATGTCGACAATTGGACTTCCGCTGCACCTTGCCAACTTTTGCCATTCACAAATCAAACCTGATACTCGTACCAAACCAAAACAAAATAAAATGCACAGTGACAGATCAAACATTCTAAATCAGCAAATTTCCTTTCAAAATTTTGAGAAAAAGCAAACAAGTTTTTGGGTTAATTGTAGAAGTTAAATCAACAAATCGCCTTTCATATAGGACTCAAATCAGTCGAGAGAATTTTTCATGCCATCAAATGTTTAGTTGCTTCTCCTATAATATATAACAAAGACAGTATATTTAAGGATATCCATGAATCATTACCCCCAAGAAAAATATTTCATAAATTATCTCATTATTATTTCCTTTGCCAAACATGATGAAGCCACCATGAGACACTACAAGTCGAAGCATACAATCCTACACAGCAGTTAAGTAACTAGATGAGCCGAGTTATAACAACGATCCAAAATTGAATGAATACCATACTACAGTTCTTATGGGAACCACATAAATTTAGATAAAATTGAGAAAGGAAAACAATAAAAAAATAATTGTGTATACGCAATATGAATCTTTTACATTCCATAAACAATATTAGGATATAACATTCAAGATGTCAAGGAAGCCTCAATGACAAAATCTGATCATGTTAGATGACACAAAAATTTGCAAATACTTACAAAAACCACCAACAGCATAAAATTAGAACCTCAATTTCAATTAATGCACTGCAACTAAAACTTCTCTCAATATTGACTACATAAATCCCTTGTACTGTAGAGTCATATAGAGATGAACCCAAAAATATTTAATAATATAAGAAACATTAAATAAATAAAAATGAAAAAAATAAAGAAAAACTTATTAGAACAGTTGGATAAGCTTATTTGCCACTAAAGGATTTCTTGAGACAATTCAATTTATCCATTTTGAGCATTTCATTGTTGAAGCATAAGCTTAAGCCTCCCGTAGAAAAGCTAAAGGATTCATTTTCTTTAGGCAGATCTAAGGCTGTGTAATCCCTCTCGTTATTCCTAGCGTCGACCGGGAGCAGAGATCCATTTGTAGTAGTATTGTCTCCTGGAATCAGGTTACTAAAGAACTGAAATATCAAACGAATTAATTCGCAGTTTGTTAATGTAAATTATGTAAATGTAAATTACCACTACCACTCACTCCACCTACCACCTCCACTTCCACCCACTCCACCTCCCAACTCCACTACCACCTACACCTACTCCTCACCTACTCCTAAATCCTCTCCTATATAATAGGAATCCTTGTAATATACATAATACACAAAAATCACCCAATAATACATACATCAATTTCAACATGGTATCAGAGCAGGTTTAGAACCTAATCACCGGCGGGCGGCAACCTCGCCTTGACCGCCCGCCGGACCTCAACCCATTCCGCTGTCATCCCTATCACACCCATAGAAGCCATAGCAGCAAGCAAATTCCTCTTCTCCATCATCATCTTCCACATCAGTCTTCAAAACCCATATCGACCCTGCAATCCAAATATAGCGGAAAAGCTCTGGATTACATATATAGAGAGATAAAGAGTAGAGAGAGAATCGATCCGGGGTAAAACCCAGAAGTTCAAGTTGTAGACATGCATCCTTTGACAAACTTGCAACATAACCACAAAGGTGACGACCCGGCAACACAACCACTCGCCGTCGACAAACTTGCCACTCGGTCCACTCGTCTCCACCACTCGGTCCACTCGTCTCCACCTCTCCGCCGCCGCCGCTCATTATGGCTTGCTGAAGCCGCTCCTACAGCGCCGCAGCCGTGGCCTCCTGCGCCCTCGCCCACAGCTTGTCACCTCTATGGGTACAACTATGAAGCCAACCATCTTCAATGAGAAGGTAGCAAAGGCTCTAAGAAACTGGCACTGCAATGCAAAAAAAAAAAAAAAAAAAAAAAAAAAAAAAAAAAAAAAAAAAAAAAAAAAAAAAAAAA